AATATTTTTGTTATGCCAATCGACTACATTTTTTATTTTTCGCTTATAAGTAATGTCTAAACTACCATATCATATAAATTATTTACTGGTAGTCTCGAAACTTTAGTTATATAAGGAAAATAAGTAATGTAGTCGATTGTCATAGCAAAAATAACTGTATAAGAAAACGTCACTGTTCGTTCTTGGATGTGGAGGTCAGTTGCTCTGAGGACATTTTTAAGAAAAAAATCACATTCTGGACGAAGGATAACGTTTAAAGAACAATAAAAGGCATCACCAAAGAGCAGCTTATGAGGAATAAAGGGAAGTTAAGAAAAGGCGATTGCAGTGAGGGGAGTCATACATGGAATTGGCCACAAAATTTACCCAGAGGGTTCACCTGTGGATTGAAGAATATGAAATTAAGGGCTAAAGGTGTAGGTAGGCTAAATAAAGGTAATCAGTGTGTGTGCGTGCTTTTCTTATCTGTATCAGAAGGGGAAGTGACCGATGACAGGCCTGACCACGGGGAATACCAACCAACACACACACAGAGACACCATCCCGGTACCCTAGAATTAGATGGGAATATCAACTTGAGAGACGAGAGGAGTGTGTTTTCCCCGATTAAAGGGAAAATTAGGAAGCGATGCATTCTCACCGGTTCTGACTTAAGCCGGACAAAGGGCCCCAAAGAATGAGTACAATGTGGGTGATGAGGAGGGGAAGGATAAGTGAGTCATGAGTTTGAAGCTTATGGAGAGGAAAATTCCTAGCCACTGACATGTGCATCATCTGCTCTAACTCATCGAATATGGCGTAATCGAGGACGGGAATGGAAGGCTCTAAGGATGCCCGACTTCAGACATCCAAACAGTGATTTTGATGTTTAACAGCGGCTAATTGACAAGCTTGTAAGAAAAAAAGGGGAGGGGCAGAGTGTAGGTCAGGAACCTTGCGAACGCCATCTGTTACTGGTGGTGGAGATAATTACGCTTCACTAAACCTACTTGTAGAGATACACTCTTAGGCGACATTTGAGGGAACGACAGCGCAGCAGGGGTGAGAGGAAGAGATGCAGCAATAGAAGGTATAACACCAAATAGGGGCGAGGAGTGATTCCCCAACAGTTGATCAGAAAATTGGTCAAGGGGATTGCCCTCACTTGTCACTTTGACAATTTGTAACTGTGCTTACAATGGCGCCTTTTACTGTTGATGCCGGCGAAATGTTTGGGAATGTATCCATCCAATAGCCAAAGCTGGAAATCCCGAATACTAGACCAGAGAATACATGACTAGGTACGTTTCACAAGGTCTCCCTGATGCTCCGATCAAGTTGCGAAAACAAGGTCTAGACAACAATAAAAATAAATCTATGCAATCGAAAATCCACCAAATAAAGTGATATGGGAAAACGCCTGGCCTTCCTTGAAATTCACATTTGCTCTGTAACCCAAGGGCACTAGTGTCAATGTTTTCTAGTGACTAACGTGTTGAGATTACGCACTATACTATCATAGTTTGAGTACATCTGGGGGTGCTGAAAAGTCCTATGCGAGATCGAAAATGCGGTCAACTCGGGATGAGAACACCTTTTGGGAGAGCAAGAAAATGTACAATTTTATGGGAACCTTATGTCTACTTATATAATTGTGGTAACATTCGACTACCAGTACTTTATCACCTTAACGAAATATGGTGAATACATCCCATATAACTCATTTACTGAAGGTGTAGAAACTCTTCTTATAAACGAAAAATAACTTTTAGATCGTTTGAAGAGGCGAATGTACGGGATTCGTAAGTTGGTCGCACCGAAAGCGGTAGAGGTAATGCCATGAAGCTGTGGCTGTAGATTTGTGGAAATAGGGACTCTGCGCACCGTCCTGCATCCATCCCTGAAACTCATATCTTTTTTGTTTGCTCTTAAAATTCTGCCGCATGTAATTGCGCTCCAATGTACGTGTGTTGTGTGTGTGAAATGCTTCTGAGACGCATGGGATTGTAAAATGAGAAGCATATTTAAGGCAAATCAAGCCTCCTCTTGCTTGACAGTACTTCTTGTTCCCTCTCTTTCTCCCTCATTAAATCCTATCCAGCAGCCACAGGTAGTTCCCACTTAATTTCCTACATATATTTCTCCTATTCAGGATGTTGACTGTTTTGTCTATTTCTTTAGATTCCTTAATTTTCCGCCTACTGGTATAATCTTCATATCCAGCTAAGCGTTTGGCATTAGACCGGTCTATCCGATGTCCTGTGTTCGGCCAGTTCTGACTCTTGGATCCATAAACGTTTGTAGGCTATTTGTGTTCAGATAACCTCTTATGTATGGATCAACATGTCTTCTTCACATAGACGCTAACACATGAACACATAACCTTATAGCAACCCGGAATAGAGAATGGATTTAAAATTTTCCAAAAAGATGCCATTAATTAGGAAAGTGTTATTTTTTACTTATACATTGTCCTGATATCTCACTCCTCAGTAGTTCCCCCCCTCTTTTTCGAAAACTAATAGGACGGTAACATTAGAACCCTAGTCGAGTGGTTCAGCTGTCTATCTTGACCTAAATAGATGCTTCCCTCCATCCAATTCTCTAGTATGTTTTAGCAATTCCAAATTTAACCTAATGGATAATCACTCTCAACTAAAATCTTCCTTGATATCTTTAGTTTTCGCTCCCGATGGTTTACATCTGCAAAACGCAGGCTCCTTATTATCATGGATTTTATCACTACTACTTTAACTCTATAAGTATAAATTGAAAAGAAATTTAAAAGGAATCCCTATTTATGAGTTTCCTATACACATTTTTACACAGTTTGTTTCCCTCTGCGAACTAGAAATAGGTAGATCGCCATCCCTTTCTAGTTCCGTGGTGAAATTTCTATTCCCATTGATTCAATTCTTTAACATTAGGAGTTCTTCTTGGATTTCTTTAAAAAATTTTTATATGGCGAAGTAGCCATTTATTAACCTCCCCAATAATTTTTTAACTAAATGTGCTTCTTGTATTAGGCGACTGTCTAATTGAGTCATGTAGTTATCTGCTAAATTTGGGGATAACCATGATCCCATTGCTATTCCTTGTGCTTGTTTGTATAGTTTTCTATTGAAAATAAAACATGTAAAGTTTTTGCAACTTGGTCAGAGCGTCAGGGAGACCTTGTGGAACTTACCTAGTCCCGTGTCCTCTGTCAAAGTATTCGTTATTTCCAGCATGGGACCATTTACTTAGTACATTCTAAAACGTTTCGCCGGCATCGTAGCCGGTATCATCAGTGAGAGGCGCCATCATCAGCACAGAATTACAATTTATCAAAGTGACAAGTGAAGGTAATCTCCTTGATCAATTTTCTATTCAACCGTTGTGGCATCAATCCTCGCCTTTACTTTCCATTCTACCTTGTGGTGGTGGAGATAAGTACGCCTCAATAAACCTACTTGTAGCGACACACTTTTATGCGACATTAAAGAAAAGGAGAGCACAGAATTTTGTGAAAAGATAGATGGGCCATATGAAGTAGGGTTGAGAGAAAGAAATGCAGCAGGGATTCATGAGGGTCGCAAAGCGGTGCACCAATGACCTATATACACCAATTTACAGTCACAGCTCCAAGTCAATCCTCATACAGCCTTAGGTGGAGCCAACTTACGAATCCCGTACACTTACCTCTTCAAACGAAATAAAAGGGTGCTCTATCACCAATTTGGAGATATTTTTTTATTGCAAAATCGTGATCCTTCACCTTGTTTGTTTTTGTTTTTATAGCATTCATTAAATTATTTACAAGAAATTAAGCGCCGGCAGCAATGGCCCCAATCGAGCACTTACCAAAGATTTTTCTAGTTTGGAAAATGCGTCATCAAAAAGTCTTATGTCAGCAGTTTGAGTTGACTTGTCTAGGGTATTAGGCTGCTTAAATTTATAATAAGCTCCATTTGGGTCATTATGCGAAGGCACTCGTATAGTCGTAGGAGCATTGCGTGCCCTCGATTTAATTTTAGCTTGTTGTAGAGTCTCTGGAAGATGGTTATTAGGAAACCGGAAAGATTCTAGCGGAACATTCCAAGAACCTTGGAGCTTTAGACGTTTAGGAGTGTGAAGAAAAGATGAATTAAAATGGACAGATTCTGGTCTACTTTCATCTTCCTGACGCCGCGCCGATAAGCTCTGTGGAACTTTTGCTTCGTTGACAGGGTAGCCACTCGTAAAATTATTCAGAATGGGCAGTCTAGGCATTAGCTCATTAGCCTCAGAAACAAAAATTCGAGACCCAACGGTCTGAATGGTCTTGATATACGGCCCAGAAGAAGCCACCTTCTGGCTTGGAAAATGAAGTCTAATCAGGTTGAGGAGAAAAAACAATAAGATATTAGAGCCAAGCATGGACTATTCGCCCTAAAACAGCATTTTATGGTTATAAAACCTAGTGTAAGTTTGTATGACTATATTTTTATCAACTCCTACTCTGCGTGAGGGAGCTTTCATAAAACATTTTAGTTATATTTTGTCCAAAATGCTCTTAAAATGGAAACTCATGATAATATATTGTGCGGGCTTTCAAGATAATATCTGGAAAATTATTTATTAATTTTACTTCCCATTTCTGCAGTAATCCTTATTAAAAAATCAAACCCACATATTCTTAAAATAAATAGCGTCTTTGGTCACAATAGTAAAATACATGTTTGCTTAATCGACAATACCACTATAAATGTGCTTTGAATAATGTCTGCCCTGGCTTGGATGCCACATTTGCTCTATGATCTACTGATACTTATGGCTATATAGCGCAGTGTTAACATCGTCATGATACTAACGACCCGAACCAAATCTAGATGAGGGTTCTGATTAGACCTAGATGAGGCTGAAATTGCATATAACCCTGAATGATAAAGCTTTTTTGGAGGCAATGCCAAGTGAAGTACAATCTTATGGAGAGAAATATTCATCCAATTGTGCGAAAACTCAATTAACAGCCTTCAAATCACCTTAAGTGATCTAAGTTGAATAAAGTCTTGGAATGGAGTTGTAGGAACAGAACCCAAAACTGATTGTATTTGTCATATACCAGACGTAAACTTACAACTATTCCATTAGGGACATTGGAGGGTTACCTAAGGACTAAGACGGACTGGACTTCGTATTTATATCAAGCAATAGTAGACTACCGTCATTTTCAGGTAAGACAGACCAACCAATCTTTTAGCCACAATCTTTTACACAAAATCGATATCATCTCATCCATAATCTATTCTAACACAAATAAACTCCTCATATATATTCAGAAAGAGTAATTCTTACACTCGCAGGCTCTTGAATTTTTCAATATAAAAAAGCACTATATGCTCTTGGATCATCCAGTCACGGCATTGGCTCTAGTCATGTATAGATATATGGAAATTAACCAATTTATTATAAATGCCTCATTTCTTAAGTTTATTGAGTCTGCCTACATGGAGGAATATAAACACTTGGAGGAGATATATAAACTGTACACCGCATATAAGTTGTTTGACCTTGTTTTCGTAACTTGGTTACATTGGTAGGAAGACTTAGAGGAACGCACATAGTCCGGAGTCCATTGTATGCGTGATCATTTCCAAAGTCGGACCGTGGACGTGGTACTTTCCCAGACGTTTCGCCGGCATCGTAGTCGGCAT